TTAAATATTTAGTGATTTTTATGTTTTAAAAAAAGTGGGTGCATCTACATAAGACGCTACATCACTGCAGTGACGAGCTATGGCGACATAGCATTGGTGGGCACAAACCGTGATGCTGATGCTACTGCGAAGCAGTACAGCCCATGTGGTGCCAAGACTGCGCAGTAACGGTGGTTACTGCACAGTCATTTAGTACTTGCTTAAGTACTAAATGACTGCGTAGTAACAACAGCGTGGTCTGGCACACATGCAGACATACCCAGTAATCAGTAAACTGTGAAAAAAGTATTTGGTCTAGGCATAAAGTATACTTAAATCACAGCCACCTTTCATAGCAATAATTTGGAACTCTTGCTTATTTCCACATCATTTAAAATACAGAAAAAAAAATAGTGGGACAAAGTTTTTTGCAAGTTCACTTTTCCTGTTTGACATCAAAGATGATAAAATGTCGAAGCAGCATTAATAATCATACCTTATATTTGGTCATGGTGCTAAAATGGTTGTTCCTGAAGAACACACAAAGTTCTCCTTCTTGAACTGCTGAAGTCAGCTCACATAATCCATGGTATGTCAACTGAGTGGCTGTGTTGTTCAGAAATTGCTCTGCTACAAATCCTATAAAAGCAACATACAATGTTAAATGTGCATCAATCATACACATTTTAAAAACATACATCTTGTATAACAAATTAGACTCATCAAAAGATCACTGCCAACTAGTAAAATAAATAGTTATGGCCAACATGATAGATTTTGTTGTAAGAAAATATTTTTTCTTTCCTTCTAAATTTAAAAACATTTCAATGCTTTACTACAATCGTACTCAATAAATTTTGGATTTTTAAGTCCTCAGGTGCATTGAAAGCACAAATCAATTTTTAATTTTTTTTCTAAGACATTTTAACTAGTATTCTTGGAGGAAAGTGTACAGCCAAAGTAGGACTTCTCAGAATGTGTTGGTGTTTGTTGCATGGCTAAGATGCTAACAATCCATATGCAGAGCAGCCTACTTCCTTTGGAATATAGCTTTGGTTATTACATGAAGCCTGACAGGATAAAAGCATATATACTTTTTTCTACCTCGCTGATGTATGAATACTGCTTAAAAGAGTTGGTGGTATTTATTTTTGTTTTAATCACATATTTCAGTAATTCAGGCTATTTACTCTTTTTTTCCTGGAAGAATCTGCAGATGACTGGAGAACTAGTCAGATCATGATATTGCATATAATAAGGAATGCAAAAGGGGAAGAAGCTTGTAAGAGCAAAAGTCGAACTTAGGCCTGTAAGGAACTTCTTACAGTTATCTAGTTCAGGGGCTGGCAGCCTAAGACTTGCAGAGACACTGGATCTGTCCCACAGAACCAGAAGACTTTGCCTCTGCCTACACCTGTGCTGGGGCCAACTGTGCCCATGCTACTACTGCCACAGCTTTGCCCTAGACCAGCATTTCTCAACCCATGGGTCACAAGAATATGTAAAAGGGTCACAAACACACTTTAAAAATAGATTAACAAACTTTAAAAGTGGATTCTCTTTTAAAGGAGAAAAATATGGGAAACTGCGGGTTACCTCTTGCAGGTTGGCAAAGTTCCAGCCTGCAAGGGGCTGCCTGGTAAGGCCGTGCGAAACAGCACCCTTCCTTTCTGACTTGAGTTTGAGGTTTCAACAGAACAGCATTTTGCTTCCAAATACATTTCAATTTGAAACTGCTGTTCCATTTCGTTTTGACAAAAAAAGTGACGCTGTTTCAACGTTTCACCCATTCGCTAAAATGGGGAAGCTCGGAATAGCCTGTCTCATTTGGCAGGCAGATTGGGGCCCGCAACCCTGTGAGGGCTGCGGGTGCTGTGCCAGTCCTCCCAGGGCTGCGGACCCCCGATCTGCCTGCCAGATGAGGGAGGGAAGCTGGGTGCTGCTGCCTGGGGAAGGGAACTGAGCCCAATCACTCAGTTCCCCTCCCCAGCGCTACCATCGGCTAGGGAAAGGAACTCAGCCCGATGGTAGCGCTGGGGAGGGGAACTAAGTCTGGGCTCAGTTCCCTTCCCCTGCGCTGTGATCGGCTTTCCGCAGCAGAAGCCGGGGAGAGCCAGGGCTGCGTTTCACGCTGAGCCACATGGGGCTGTGGAGCCACTGGGAGTGCAGCCCTGGTTCTCCCCTGTCTCCTACCACTTGGCTGCTTTGAAACCTGAAACATTTCCAAACGTTTTGAATAGCCTTGTTTTGTTTCGAGGCTGTTTTGAAGCCCTTCATTTCGATTTGATTTCGCTGTTTCAAGCTTGAAATGAGTCGAAACAGTGTCGAATTGAAACAGCTGGCAAAATTTTGCACAGCCCAACTGCCTGGGGCTGGAGGGAGTGAGAGGAGTGCAATCAGGAACAGGGTGCCACACGCACGTGTCAGCCAGGCAGTGTGGAAAGCAGTTCCCGCAGCTTAGTCTATGGGGCAGGGGGGAGGGCAAAGATGATGTATTGAGGGGTATGTGCTCCCCCCCCCACAAAATTTGTGTGCCCATAGTGGGCCTAGGGCTACAGCCTGACTAGACTGGCATGGGCAGGAGCTGCCTCCACAGCCCAGCAGGCAGGACCCAGCACACGAAGGCAAAACAGAGTGGCAAGACTCATTGCTGCCGCTGTTGGGATCCCTCATTCCTGCTGCTATTAGCTCTCCAGCTCAAATAATTGTCCACCCCTGGATTACAGCATGTACCTGGTAGAGGATATCCAGGGTATAGACCCCCAATGCAGAAAGGACTAGAACTGGCATTTTTTGCTTCCCAGCAAATTGCTCTAATCATCAGAGCATGGGCTAGGCATTTGTCCTATCCCTCTATAGCACCCCCCCCCAACACACAAATGCTGGGCTACAGTACCTTACACTTAATGTTTGTTGGATGAAAACCTACAAAACAGGACTGTGCAAGTTTCTGCACCACTAGGAGCATGGACCCAAGCTAGAATCTGGAATCCTCCCCCTTTCAGTCAGCATCCACGTCTCATTGAGCCACATGCCCTCTGGCTCATTCTCTGCTTCCTGGCCCTTCATATCTCCCTCTCCTGGTTGCCCGACAAGGGGAATCTCTGGGCAATGCCTAGATGGATTTTTTTAATGAACTGTATACTTCCAGTAAAATCTCTCTCTACTCATGCATTCATAGATACTATTTTTCATACCTCATCACCAGTAAAATCAGATTCTCTTATGAAACCAAGTGCATAAAAGTCAAAAGATGGGGAAAATGGCTGAAAGTTAAAAACCTCAAAAAACTGAAACAAAGAATTGTACTAGCTGAAAAGTTGAGACCCAACATTAAAAAAAAGCACAGTATTTCATTCTAATACTAGTTAATTTCTTTTTTAAAAGAGTACATAGTTCCTATTTCTAACCTCAATGACACGCAGCAGACATGAAATCTGAATGTTGCCTAACTGACCTCAGACCCAAGAAAATTTAGAGAAAGATTTTTTCCAGATTTTTGAATCTGAGAAATGATAGAGTTAAGTTAGTATTCAAAAATTCCACCTCCAAACTGCAATCTCAGCAGAGATTTTTTAGGGAGCACATTTACAGATGAGGTTTAATGGACATGAGAGTGTATGGGGTGTGCATGGAATGTGTGAAAAGATAATGTACTTAAACAGTGGAAAGGGAAGAAAGAAAACAGACAACAGCATTCACCTACCTTCACTAACCAGCTCACTGTTGTCTGACTGTTTACAAGAGATTATTTTCTCCACCAACTGATTGTAGCTACAGTTGCCAACTGCTTTCACTATGTCAGCAATCTGAGTAAGGACAAAAATAAATACAAAACCTAAATAATCCATTCATCTTTATGATGAACAGAAAACAGTTTCTCCCTGTGGACCTCTGGAAGTTTGCATAACAAGATAACATCTTAAAAATAAAAGTATCTACCATAACAATTTAGCTCAGATAATCTACCATGCAAAGGTCAGCAGGTAACATTGGTTTAAATAAGCTGTAGTCTTCACCACCCCTGAGTTAGAGTAAGACTACCTAGATTAGACAACAGAGCTCTAGTAGCATAGGCAAAACTAAAAGGCAGAATCCTTTTTTCTGCTGGGAAATTAACACCACCCATATAAGCAACAGAAAATGTCTGCCTCCATAGGACAGAAAATACATTTAGATTTTCCCATATATTCATCTGGTTGCTGCCCCCCCCTGTTAACAACCGGTGCCTTCCCCAAAGTGTATTGTAGGCCCAGCTGGCACAGCTGCTATAGCAGAGCATCCAGAAGTCATATGGCTGCGTATTCACTCCAGCAACTTCCCTGGGCAGCTGCTGTCTGCTGGCAGAAGGCTTTTAAAGTAGACAAGCCTTAAGTGAAGTAGTATACAATGCCCTCAGTACACAGCAGAATTATGCCAATGGGAGACTACACAAAGACAATCTTTCCTTGTTCTTCTTTCTGCTTCTGACATTATCTTCTAGAGCTGTTGTTAAAGACAGTTACAAAAGAACCACTCTGAAATACAGTGTAACTGCACCCAGGTCATCTGCCGGAGTCCATAGACAATGAGGATTATACATATTTTGCTTTTTAGAAGGGAAAAAAAAAATCTTCAAAATTTCAATGCGTCTCGTAGACCACATAAATACATACTCACTTAAGCCACTTTTTTTTCACAAAACTTTCTACTGAATTATAAAAAAAACAGTAATCAATTGACATGCAGCTAGCTATCTTTTTACCTTTCATTGGGATATGCATCTGGTATTCTTTTAGCAATTCTCAAAAGATTTAGCAAATAAAAAAAATACACTTTTTTTCTTTTTTTTTCTTTTTTATTTAAAGAAAAACTAACAACATTGTTACAATTAAAACATGCCTGCCATAGTTATGTCTGGGCTTTTATGCAAGTCTTGAATTTCAGAAAATTCTGGCTCTTTAGGATCAGACAGTAAGTAATTTCCAGAACAGATTCCTCTAGTACAATATCCCCCGTTACAGCTTCCTAGAGAACTGAAGCTTTGTAATCTTTATGATGGACACATCAACTGATTTCACCCTTCTGGAAGGTCGTGGAAGCAGATGTTTGGGTAGCTGTGGTTCTAAAGTAAATACCACTTAACCTGTATCCAGGTTATAGCTGCATTAGTCTAGGGGCAAAAGGAATCAGAACTTACGATAGAGGTAATAACTTACTAGATCAACTAGATTTTTGCAAAAAAATTCTTTATTTGCAAGCGTTCAGGCACAAACACCCTTCTTCAGACATAGGAGAAAAGACTGTAAAAGTTCTCATGGGTAGAAATGAAAGTTCATATATCATAGGAGAGTTGAAGTTGTGGTAAAATCTTTCCAATCAGGAGATTTTTTACTGCACCTTCAACTCTCCTATGACATATGAACTTTTATTTCTACGCAGGAGAACTTTTACAATCTTTTCTCCTATGCTTGAAGAAGGGTGTCTGTGCCCGAAAGTTGCAATTAAAGATTTTTTTTTCGCAAAAATCTAGTTGGTCTAATAAAAAAGATATCACCTCTACCAGGAGTTCTGACAACTTAACCTTTAGTCTTCTTCACATCCAGGATTTTTACTCCCCTTTGTAAAGCACATAGCACAACAGCCGTCCAGGTCAGACTAAAGCCACTAGGTGTTACCCTAACATTAAATAACTAGCAGTAATAAGAAAAGCTAAACTGCACTTGGAAGCAAGTGATAAAACAGAAGTAATTTAAGAGCATCAGAACTACAGCTGCTGTAGGTGATGCTCTTTGTAGACCAAGAGAAGCTATGTAGAGTATATCTGAAGTTTGCAAAGATCTGGAGAGCATAAATAAGCGACTTAATAAAATAGCTACAGTACATAGTCAAAATGAAAAAAAAATTCTGGCTATGAAAAAAAAAAATCACTTCACATTCTTGAAAAAAATTGGAGTTGTAGGAAAAAAATCTTGATATTTGCAACCCTTTAATGACCATACCTAAGAAAAAAATCCTAAAACAGAGAGAAAATGTTAGCCACTTCTCTAGGATAGTTTCTAGAAAACAAAATATACCACCTCTCTTCTTATCTGGATGCCGACTCAGGCAGCATAACAAACAACTTGTACTACTCCTGCAGATAAACAATTCATTTTCTGAGACTAGTTATAATGCACTCTGTCCTGGATATAGCAGCTACAAGTAGGGCATAACTTGAGTAAGGAGTGAAATAGCATTATATTCACCATCTTACTAGCATACAGTCTCTCATGTGAACCAAAGACTGAAATGAATGATACTACACTACTAGAAATTCAATGCATCCTTCAGACTGTCAATGCTATTTTAAAATCTTTGAACAAGTAAAAAGCAGCAAATGCTAGACCTTTTTTAGATCTAGCACTCAGTCCTTGAAGCCTAGCATTTGCTCCTTACAATAGTCCTTTAAAATAAACACCCCTATTCATATTTTTGGCTGAGAAGTCAACAAAACTTGTCAATTGACATTCCAAGCATCTAACTTAATTTTTAGGGTGGCTCCCAATAATTGCCTTAAACCAGCCCAAGTCACTTGAACTGCTCCTTCAGTCTGCATCTTCCCTCAGGCTGAAGGGTTCCTTCAGCAGCAAGCCTTCCTAAGAAAGTCTTGCAAACTATTTGTCCCCCTGTCTTGTGTGAGCTCTAGCTGGGACAGCACGTACAAGAAATGGGGTGCAGAAGGGCGTGCATTTAGGAAAAAAGTTGTGACTGCTTCTCATTGATTTTTTGTATTTACAGCCTACAATACCCAGATAAGTTCCAAATACACTGCAACACGGTAGGGAAGGAAAGAAGGCAGTCTTGTCCTCAGATCCTGGAGCACAACAAAACTTCTTGGATTGGGCTGATCTGCTGCCAGAGGTCACAATTATGGGTTTACAATATAGATAGTTGATATCTCTGGACTATCACTGGAGAGACAACCATCAACTCGTCTCTGTGCAACTAAAGAGGCAACTAGTTTTCAATTAAAATTGATCAGGTAACTGTGAAAACTGAAGTGCTGTATAGATCTTCAAAGCTTTTCATATTTCTTCAAGAAGATAAGTAATAGTTTAGAGAAGGAATGGATTACACATTATTTAGGCTGATTTACTTACCTGAGGGTCCACTAACCATCCATGGTACAAGGGAATATCAAGAAGGTCAAACACAATACATTCAGGTGTGTATTCAAATACTCGTACACCAGTGAATTTCACATTAACATCCAGGCCCGTCTGCAGTTTATGTAAAATAGCCATTGCATCACTCATATTCTGGCAACAGAAAAAAAATACAGGTGAGCCAAACAGACAGTGTTAGAGGACTACCTACATCTGATGGCTATTCTTTTAAGTTGAGCTTTCAAGAAAGTTGACACTTACAGAAAAAACCTGCAAAAGGGCACAACAGTAGTTTCAGTGAATGTTTTCTTCACTAAGTTTCAATAGATAACAACACTCGAGATAATGTTCAAACACAGTAAACTTCAATTGTAATTTCACACAATGAGGAATTACCTGGAGCCAAAATGCTTTTGTTATTATTTGCACTATTGGAGACTGGAGGCACAAGTCAAGGACCAGGGCCTTTATTGCGTGGACCCATGGAAAGGAATCTCTAGAAAAACTCTACCAGGACTTTAGAAACTTCCTCCCTTCCATCAAGCTGAATCCTGAATACTCTACCAAGCAAATTAGTTTCTTAGACACAACCGTGAAACTTCAAAAAGGCTACATCATTAGGACATATGGGAACCCAAATGACTGATACAACTACATCCACACAGCCAGCTTTCACCCTAAGCACACCCCTAGATTCAACTATCAACAAACAATAGGAATGCATATTTCAGAGATCCAGAACTGGGTTTCTGACACTTATAAAACAATCCCAAAAATAAAATCACTCAAATCAGCATAGCTAAACTCAGACCCTACTCCCATCTCCTAAAATAACAATCCTGTGACAAGGACAACAGAATCCCTCTTAGACTTTAGATCATTATGACCTCCAACCCCTCCCAGAAAAGTGGCAATCAACTCAAGGTAACATTGGGGGACAAGCCTGTCCTGGCTTACAGGTAGCTCCCCAGCCTCAAACAACATCTCTCCAGCAACAGACCACAAGCTACCTGGGCCTTGCTATAGCCTCAGTTGCCAGCAGTATTCCCTCATCATCAGATCACACCATCACTTGACCAAGCAACAGGAATTAGAATATCCATGGTTTATTCACTTGCTCCTCCATTAAAGCCATCACCTGCTGTCTAGTCAAATAGGGCAATGCTTATGGGAAAGAATGAACAGACATTGATCCAACATCAATTCCAGAAAGACACAGAAGTGTGGCAATACACTTCAACCTGCCAGGATGTTTCATCACTACTACAGAGTAGTTGTCCTCAAACAAAAGAACTTTAAAACCAACTCTAACATGAAACTGCAGAACAAGAAACGATCTACAGATTGGACTGTGTTAACCATGGTTTCAAAAGGGAATGGATTCTTATCCTATTAGCTGGGCTAGCTGTTAACTCCAGTGGCCTTAAGTGGTTAAACGCCACATTTATCTCAATTGTTGCAATCAACAGACTCTTAGCAGTACCACCCCCCCATCCCTTTCCTTTCCATAGAAAACTCTTTCTTCCAGCCAGTCCTTTCATACCATAAGAAGCAGGTTGTTGCCTATGAAAGCTCTTGGCTCGCTGAACCAGTTAGTGATTCTCAACTGGGGTTAAACTGCTCATGCTCTCCCTCTACAACAGGGCTCTCTAATCAGCCTAAAACAAGCAAGAAAAGCTGCCTCACGGCACGCAGCTCTTTCCAACCCATTTTGCCCAGTGTTCCTCCAGGAAACAGGCATGGGTGGAACTTTCTGTCCACTTCCATTTCCAGGAGGATCACTGGGGGTGCTGGACCAGAGAGCTCCAAAGCACCAGGCAGCTCTTGCCTGCTTTAGGCTGATCAGAGCCCTAATACAGGAGATGCACGCTCACATGGCACAGTACTTCCTAGGCTGGCTGTTTCAGACAGGACAGTGTCAGCACAAATTTACATCCCTTCCTGGCAGCAGACCCTGGCTGAGAAGTGCTCAGGTAAGCCAAGGCAGCACAAAGAGCGATTCTCAACAAGGGGTGATGCTGCACTCCAAAAAGTAGTGGTGGGGTGCCTGAAAATGTTGACAACCACTGTAGGGTCTCTTATCACTGTTGTCGGGCAGTGATTCTCAATGAGGGTTCTGCAGCACTCTGGGGTGCCTTGGGACCCTTTCAAAGGATGCCATGCAATGGTAGCACGGTTAGGTGTGCAAACATGATTTACAAGATAAATCCAGAGATTTCAAATAGGTATCCATAGCGTTAAAAACATTCTGACCTGTTGTGGTTTTTCTGGGTTCTCTGAAATGAAAGAATTACTCTACTATTTTTCTGTAGCCAAAAAAAACCTAAGAGCTGTCATTTTCCAAGAAGTGCCTTGAGTTTAACAAGGGGTACCGTGAGTCTGAACCTGCTGCAAAACGCTGCTCTAAGATGCCACTCTGCCAAATCTTCTACCTGTATTAGTATCTAAAGACAGAGAGGTTAAACCTTCAGAGCAGGGACTAAACAAATATTTTGGGGTTTTGGGGGGGTTTTCTTTTTAAAGTCCAGAGTTTCATATTTTAAGCCTTCAATTTGTTGGTTTTCAGGAAGGAAAAAGGACAAGCAGCAGCATGTGAAACAATATTTGTTACCCTTTCTGCAGGTTCTGGTTCCATAAACAGACAAAAGAATTGCAAAGTAGACTAGAAATGGGTAAGTAGCACTATTGAGAGACGTTGATAAAACAAAACAAAACAAAACAAAACAAAAAAAAACAGCTAGTGAACAGTCAGTAGCCACTAATAGAGGCAATTTTCCTCATCTACCAGAGCGGCTATGCAGAAGCAGAATTCTACCATTTGCAAATCCCCACTGAACTTTGCCTGACATCAGTCTACATGTCACTCCTTCTTACCAAGATTAAAGAAGCCAGATTCAAGTAATTCCTATCTCTTCTCTCTCCATGTCCCCAAACCAGAAATCCAACACTAGAGGAGAAAAGGTGTTTATGGGCCACCTGTCCAGCAATATCCTGGTCTTCAAATAATGAAGACGGGCTAGAAAAACAATTGAAACAGAACTACAGAAAAGTTTAAAATATGATAAAACTGTTAGAGTTTTAAAATTAAAGTATTATTGGAAACACAAACTTGACTATTACCCCTTGAAAGCATTTGACAAGAAACAGGACTAGATCATTAAAATAATAAATGATACTTTAACTTGGCTTTACAAAATTCTTTTTTCCTAGCTGAGCAGGGTAAAATGTTTGGAAAGGTTACTTATTAATATAGGAGAATAATTATATCATACAGCCACCTTTGTATAAACCTGAAAAGTAAAACAAAACAAAAACAACTTTAATCAAAAACATTCCCACAGCCTTATTCTGAACACACTTTCAAATAGTTTCTACTGCAGGAAACCTGGCATAAAAGTAATCATTATTAAGATGACATGATCTACCTACTTCTAGAGGAAATTTGCTCTTAACTAAGGGAATCATGAGCATTTTGATGGAAAAATCTTCACAAAGCATGCAAGTAGTTTTTTCCACTAGGTTTATAAAGTGTACATGTAATCGTGAACAATAATTGAAGCTCTTCAGATAGCTTCCATTCCTTGAGATGTATCCTTTAAGAGAAGGGAACCAAGGCTAGTCAGTGCCTTGCAAGATCTTCACTAACAGCTTTTTACAATCCATCAAAACCATGGAAGAAATAAGCAGAGATGCAAGAGGACAAGGAGAGAGCATAGTATTTTCCACCCAGAGGGAATAAGTACGTATTTTACAGTAAGTACAAAGTAAGTGTTTTTCAGTAAGTACGTATGAAAAAGTATTACAAGTTGCAAAGCGTTCAAAGAGAATTCATGATTTGACCATCAAGAGTTTACTGAAAACTTTAGTGACCTATTTTGATAGAAAACCAATAAGAGAGAATTCAGCATGAGCACTATGGACAGAAGGGGTCAAAAGAACAGAGCTAAAGAATGGTAGAGTTTAAACCAGTTGAGGTGAGGGAAAAGGGAAATAATGAGTATGAAGGAGGCAGGAAACAATGACAGTAGAGCTACAGGATGGACATTCAAGAGAAAAAAAAGATGACAAACAATGAGTCATGAGCCAACTATGTTTACAAGACACATAGGTGTACAGGAGGATGATTTATCCAATTAAAAGCAATCTACTAAATGGCACTGAAATTGTAGACAACTGGATCAATTAAACAATGTACTAAGCAAGAGATTTTAGTTGAGAAGTTAATTTTGTATCAAGTTAATGAGTGAATCAATAACCTGATTAAGACCCAAGCCAAACTGATTGCGTGTGTTGGAATCCAGCAAAAACATATGTATTACAAAAAACAAAAAAAACAAAAAACAGTTTGTGTGTATCCATAAAAACTAAATTACTCTTGTAAAATAAGCTGTATTTTCACTAAATTGATAAAAGGTACATCTCTGACCCAGGGGCACTTCACACTTTTGAGATTTTATCCCAAACTACAGAAGTGCTAAAACTATCAGAAAAGGCTTTAATAAGACTGGCAAAAATGCTGCTTTCTCCCTACACTCTACCGCAGCCAAGAATTTTGGTGGAAAAGGCTCTCCCTCAGATTATTTTTAACACAAAAAAAAATGAGCCACAGAATTATGCTGCTATAACTTAAATAAAATGATATTGCTTTTATAGTGTTTATCTTCAATATCACTAAGGCTGAAAAATTATTTTTAGTAATTTACTGAAGTTAAATCTATGCTAGTTACTAGACATGTTCTGTAGATCCACTACTGTACACACACACACACACACACACACACACACACACACACTAGAATGTTAGTCCAGATTTGAATAATGGTAAAGACGAGAAAAATCTGTTTCTAGTGCGTTAGAAAATTTTGTCTGTTCAAATAAGCCACTCTTAGAACGAGGTTGGAAATTCCTTCCCACAAGTTATATTAGACTCCCCCCAATGAAAGTGTCAAATGTTATTCCTCAGTAAAGTGAACAATTCTTGCAGTAGAATCAGCCAGATCAGTTCTCAATTAAATGCCTATTGTATTGAATACTTATATTTTAAAAATCAAGACAGCCCTTATTAACATTCAACATTTACAGTCAGTTTCATTTTGTTTAATCACTTTTGATATTTTAACATTCTATTTCTTTTTATAAAACAGTATGCCGAGAAAGAGAGAAATGAGTCACAGCACAAATACACAATACCCTTCTACTAACACCCATACTGTTTGCTCTTGTTGGATTGATGTGACAAATTTCTCAATTAGATTTTCCTCATGTGTATCTAGACCAAAAAAAAAAAAAGTTAAATTTAAATTTGGGACCACATATCAGTAATTTAAGGGTAAAGCACATCACAAAGATGTAGTATCTATCTCAAAACCAAGCATTATAAAACAAACAAACAAAAAAAATCAGAAATAAAGATACTTCTTTCTTTTAATGAATCTTATGTATGTTAAAGGTAAAATAGAAGACGGGGTAGATCGCACCTTACAGACTAAATCAGAGATGCACAGCACGAGGTTTTGTCCACCCAAGTTCATTTCATCATTGTTTAGGTACGTAAACAAACTTCACATGGCTTATAGAGACACCATGCAATTGAAAGTAATGTGTAATTGTGTTTACAGTCTCAGATGAAACTTCAAAAGACTTGCATAAAAAACAGCTTATCAAATTTGGTGTTGATGGATTCAAAGTAAGAACAAGTAAGATTGCTGCAAAATATTGGTTAAACCTGCAGTTCATCTATCTACAAGCCAATTTAACACAGAATTTCATTAAAAGAATACTTTTCTTTAATCTTGCAGAGGAACATAAGAAAAAATGCGCTTAGCAATTTTTCAGTAAGCCCGTTGATTTGGGTATGAGAAAACCAGAGAGGCTGCACTTTGATTTAGTAGCTAATTTTCTTCACCCTCGTCCAACTGGGCTATAACTATCACATTTTCCATAATACTTTTAGTAACTACCGATAACCAGTTACTAACTTACACACACATAACTTTAGGTCAAAGTTTAACACACAATTAAATCAGATCTTGGATTACGTTTCATGTCGGACTATACTGTATTTTAATTTTAACTTTGATAATGATATTCACCTTGATGTTTCCAACATAGAATGGGAAGAAGCAAACATATATACTCTGAAACAGGATTAAAAGTGCATAACCCCAAACTGTTTAATAAATTTAATCCAATGAAATATTCTCTATTCTTAAAAATGTTATATACAGTCAACAAGAATCAGCTATGTCTGTATGTAGATTGGGTCTGAAAAATTCACTCACCAGAAGCAACTGGTGGAACTTTCCCTACTAAATGTTGGAGTCTAGGTTAAATTTTGCAGAAGCTAACATAACTATCTTTCTGTTTAAAATGATTGTCTATCCTTCACTGTTCTAAAGAAAATTCTTCTAAAACAAGCATACTTCAGCATAGCCAGTCTTTCCAAGTCAGTTCCAGTTCCTCTGCATAGTATTATCAAGCAGCAAACTGAGTAACAACCTATTCTTTTTCACTGTTTTCAGATCCATGTGATCCTTCAACATGTGTTCCACTCTTAGCGTGCATGTGTCCTACATGATCAGATTCCTTCTAAATAAAAAAAACCCTATGAAATAGGTTCACTTATGCAGCTGTTTTTCCTGAACTTTTTCTGTATGCTACCTAACATCCTATTGAACTGAATTCCCAGATTGGTGGCAGAAAAAGTGCCTTTACCATCGTGGTAGTATGCAAGAAGTTGACATGCTGCATGATGATTATTCAAGTATAACACCAAGACGACAGTTTTCTCCTTATTGAGTGGCAGGCACCATTGATGATAACATTTTTTTCAGAACTGTAAGGTCACAGGAGGCCATTATCTCCACTGCTTCCAACTACTTTGAGCTCCTTGTTATAAGCAGGTCAACAATACACAAAACTGAGCAAAACAGGAGCAAGTATAGAGTTCTTGGAAGAGCCATTCTTCAGTGCACATGTGCACCTCCATCTACTGTTCAGAAGGAACCAGTACATCTACTGGACAAAATCTCCTCTAAGGTATGCAAGCTGCAGATATTTTAAATAATGGTGCTTCAGCACCCTACTGCTGCGTCATAATGCGTCATGAGCCATAGGAAAAAAAAGTCAACAAACACTGCCCTGCACTCTTCCTTTGCTTCAAAGGCTGACTCAGTCTTGGTAGGAAGAGGTACCAAGAAAGGAACTTCACCGCTCACCTGTAACAAATCTGTCCACCAGCTTAAAGAGGAGAGGACTCCTGAGGAAACTGTGACCAGCCTGTCCCTGGTGTGCCTGTTGGGTAGATACATAGATTTCAATCAGCCTTGCAGAGGTAGCAGGTGAAATTTGGAATACTGTATGATTCAAGGTCAGACTGCCACCTGCCTCATGAGCTTGAGGCAGTTCTTCACCCATGTCCCGGGTTGAGTGCAGAGCCTGTTGAGGAATTCTACCATAGCGCTGAAGGATCTTTGCCCATCACCCTCCCTCCCTTACTGTGAAATACTCCAAGGTGGACTCCAAGGCTCCTGGACACTGGAACTCACTAGTGAGCAACTCTGTGCCTCTAACCACCACCACTCTGCTCACTCTGTTGTCTCACTTGTTACTAATACCAGCCAGCCTGAAGCGGGGTACATAACGGAACACTGCTCTCTATGTTGGCCATCTTGTAAGATGACCTTTGAAAAGAGGGGTCTGATGGAAGTTATTCCTGATGGAAAAGTCCATGCTGTACTCAACTCCTCCCCACTGCCTCTCAACCCAAGAAGTCCAGGGAAGATCAGTCATTTCACTGGCAAGTTGCAGCTTCACCTCCTCAAAAGTTGCCTCCCGTCACAGACCACACTCCTCAGCAATGAGGCAGGAACACCACTCCAGCCAGCAATCCAGGCACAGCTTGTCATTGCCAGTTCCACACAAGAGGCTCAAAACCTTTCCCACGTGGTCATTAAACTGAAAAAAAAAAATCACAGATCCGTTTCTCTTCCCAAAGATCTGACACCAATGGTTCCTTTGCCTAAGAACCATGCTACCCCGGTACTATACTGCCATTGATCTCAACAAAGACCTTCCACACCTAAAACTTTACCTTAAGCACAAAGAATTACCTCCTCAAAACAAGACATCACCTCAAGCACTGGACAGCTCAGTACTGAAGCCATCTGTGATCCCAGACAATTTTCAGTAGACTCAGTTCCAGACTCTCCTCCCCTGAAATATTTGAGAGGATGTCATCTCCAAGATGCTCTCCAACCTGACCCCGCATGGTGCAGGACCAGCACTGTGAACAGGACTACAGCTCCAGTAGATGAGATGTATTCATTCTCATCGTCTTGAAGGCACACTTGACAGTTTCCCTTTCTCATACACAAACCCACCCTGAGTGGCACAGTGGGAGTCCCTCAGGCAACAGAAGGAAGCAACGGAAGAACATGGAAAGAGAGCATGAGCCTTCAGGGAGCAACCAGCTGTTAACTCTATATGCCCACAGTATGCCTACCAATTCTAACTATACTGGTTTCATGAAGTATGACATCCTAACTTCAGGAAACACACTTCAACTGTCTCTTTTTCCAAAGAAGTAAATAAAGCCACCTCTAGCTCTTCAACTCCAATCAGTAGAGGGTGACAGTACTATAGGAAGGAGTCTTTCCACAGACCCAGAACACCCCAATCCTAAAAAGAGGACCTCATCCTCATGTCCTGTTAAGGCAGTTAATCCTCTCTCTCCTCTACTTCCCAGGATGAGTTTAAACTGTTTTAAAGATCTCTTCAAATAAACTAAACAGATTTTTATTTTATAATCTACTACAAGGTCAGGCAAAAACTTAAGATCTTTTCCATACAAAGAGTTTGGACATGATAGTTTTTTAATGAAAACTGGGGCCTGGAAAAAAAACAAACCAAAAACATACTTTGGGCTCTCTTCTGCCTACTTCAAAGAGAGCTGTTAGAAATACCAAGTTTCAAAAAAGGGGCTTAAATACATTCATCAATATTGGGCCCTACTTTTTTGGTAGTGCAATGGTTTCAAGAGAAGCACAGAACAGAAAAATCCCACCCTTCATGAAAAGTATCCAAAAAGCTGACTCCATTTGATTATAAGTTATGTGCTTCCATAAACCTAAAGATGAAAATCATTTATTAATAAACTCAGCTCTTCAAATACAATATTCTCCTTTGAAATTAACTATCAATCAGGCATAATAAAATAACTACCAAGGGAACAGATGGAAGAACTGAAGGCTTATGAATCAAGGCCAGCTCACAGCCAGTATTCTCTTTGTACACCACTTTCAATGCCTCAGATATAGCTAAAATGGTATTTTCTGCCATTGCGAGGTATTCTTTCTATCTTAAGGCATGGTATATTTAAGGGGATTGAGCTCTTTAAGTAGCAGCATAGGCAGGATGCTTCAAGTTTCAAAGGCACCAAGGTGACCTGCTATCTCTGTATTTTGGTCCCTACACCTCAGGGGAAGCAGCAGAAAAAGCAGTCCTACTGCAACAGACTTCAGTCAAAGTACTAACCCTAGCAATGATCTTCTGAGCCTCTATGGCAGTAGTCCTCAACCTTTTTAGACTTAAGGTACCCTTCAGAAAATTCTAGTTCTTATTTTTCACTAATTTCTGGCTACAGAAAAACAGAACAATTATTCTGTTGCAAAGAAGTCAGAAAGACCACAACACGTCAGAATATTTTTGACATTGTGGATTCCTATTTGAAAACTCTCAGTTTATCTTGCGAATCATGTTTGCACACTTAACAGCATTGATATTGTGCAGCAACCCACAGCACCCTGGTTAAGAATCACTGCTGTATGGAAAAGTAAATTTTGATAGATACCATCCATCTGATGTTTTGTCACTCAGACCACAATCTGGACCTTTTTTGAAGGATCAATTTTGATGCCGTGATCAAGAGCCTGGCAAAACTTCCAATGAATCGTTTTTCTTTCTTTCCCTTCTTGTTTTTTAAGCAACCACATCTTTTCTTGCCTAGAAGTTTAGATGGGAACCTCGAGCTGGTGGGTCATTAAGATAGTGAGCAAGGGGTATCCATCCAGTTTCAGTCTTTTCCCACCACCTCTCTATTCTTTATCCCTCTTGGTTTAAATTAGAAGAAAATGCTTAAAAATTAAATACTTTTCACATAAATCTTAATACTTTTCATGGTATGTTTGTGATTAGGCTATAGCAGCACCTACAGATAAATGTGAAGTGATTACATTTTGTATTCCTATCTGCTTAAGGCAGCCTAATCTACAATGTGGTTTTCAGCTAACAAATTTCAGTATGCATGTCTACTATCAGCTCTCCAAGGACACTATAACTGAAAGGAAAAACTTTTTAAAAATAAAGCACAATGCAGCCTTTCATGTAGATTTCGCAATGGCTAAAATGACAGTGTGCAGAGCCTTATTTTTTTTCTCCAACAGAAAGAAAGGGACTTAAGTAGATTGCATACCAAGAGCAAAAAGGAAAAAAACATGGTAGAGGTAAAAATTTAAATAAGAACTATTTTTCTGCCTTTTCTAAAGGTAACGATGTGCATACTACTAGCCAGCCTTATTTCAGAGAAAAAGAACAAAACTGAGTTTTTAACTTAATATACAAGACCCGCAGTACAGAAATCTCTAATTTATGAAAAACAGCATGTGGGAAAAACAAACAAAAACAATTATTCTCCAACATATTTAACTTCAATAATAAAATTCAACACAAGTACTTTTATAAAATATAAGAAAACAAAGAATATTTTAGTTCATTACTGCAACATACACAATTTCTTTTTAGAAACTCTGCTTACCTGCTCATAATTCAGACGCTGAATTTCAGAAATTTCTTTTGGTTTTGCATCAAGAATATAATCTCCTAAAAAAGGAGAAAGTAAATTGTTTACATTTATAGCTGATCCCACAGCTCCAAGCTCTAAACAAACTTTTAATGAGTATGTCTCTGTGAAGCTGTTTGGTTATTTGACCATATAGTGGCACCTAAGTTCTCTAAGTTAATAAGAGTTCAATCTCTTAGACTTTTAATCAAAATGAAATAAGAATAAAGGTAATATACACTTTTCATAAAAGCCAAATGACAGGCAAGCAATTCAATAAGAACTAAATTTGGGTTCTCTCTCTCTCTCATTATTTTTTAAGCTCAATTTTCTTGGCTACGTGACACTTTTTTCAACTGTTAGCCCCATTAATTCAATTTAGAACCTAAAATTCAAGCTGGGTTCTTGTTTTCTCAACACATTATGAACAAATAACATTCTGCAAGCTAATTGCATCCACTTGAGTATAAATTAATAGTTTAACTGAACAACAAAACTGTTTAGCCACCTAAATTCAACTTGATCTTCAAGTTACAGGTTGAGTCTAAAAAGCTGGCAATTAGTGAAAGGCGTTTACTTTTAAGTGAGCAATCCTGAGCCGGAACAGAGTCTAACATCATAAAATAATTTTTATAAATCAAATGCTGTTGATTTTAGTACATTTCTAAGACACAAAAATACTGTTTAGTTTACAAGTCATTTGGTTATTTAATGTATAGCTTTGCTGATAACTGAATAAAAAAAGCACAGCTTTTATCATATAGTAACTGCTGTTCTTCAAAAATACTGTAGTCAGCATGGTTCATTTTAAATGTCCTTGTGAGTCCCATACTGGGAATATTTTGATTAGCCATGCCTATTCAGACTGCACAGGTATCTTGTGCCTTTTCATGCTCTAGTGCAATGGCATGATGAATCAGAGTGCCTGTGATCTTTACTCAGTTCCTTCACAACCTGAAGCCCATCTTACGCAATCCTGGCCAGCTACACCTCAGAGTACCATAGTTACTTTAGATAAGTAACTGATTTTTCTCTTTTTAGTATGTCCATGGTGATCCAGATAGATTAGGGTTGTCAAACTCTTTGGGCACCCCAAACCCAAGCCAGACCCACTTCCAGCAGCAGGACAAGTGAGGGCAGCATCAACCACTGTGGGTGTCTGAGCTGCTATCCCAGCTCAGAGCGCCATAGAGGTTAGTGCAGCCATCGTTCACCCCGCCACCACTGAACAGGGCTGTATACTCCAGAATTTAATGGCAGGCCCTGCCCCTTAATTCCTGGTCCCTCCTGAAGCTGTGTGTGCTGGATGACCCCCTTGATAGAGATCATTGACAAGCAATATCCTCCTTCTGGATGGTGGGAATGAGGACAACCAACTACATCAGCTGAACAGAAATTGGAATACTATTCTCCCACATTTGACATTGGATCTAGGAGGAGCAAAACCCAGCAAATGAGGAGTTAAACAAGAGTGAATTGCTGCAATGCCACTATAACATTTAAGACGCAATCAGAAGAAGTTGCTTCAGCTCTGCCAGAGTGAGCGTGATGAACAAGAGGGGAAGGTGTGTGCAAAAACCAGATAGTAATCCGATGCTTTACACTTGAGTTGTCTACTTAGCTTAGCCTTTAGGATGAAACAAATAGGTCTTTGAAGCAGCCCATGACTGTCAGAACCAAACTTAGAGACAATGCAACAAGAGGGTACAGTTTATTCTGTTACACGTGGACTACAGCTAAGGAAAGACCACAGGTAAACTAGCTTGCTTAAATTAAACATGCAGTTCAAGCTAAGGCTAGACAGACAAACATGGTCAAACACATCGTTCACAGCAATGACTACTACCTAGTCATCAGCTGAAATCTCTGCCCAAGGACCTGTTATATCATTATGGTTCAGGCTCATCTCCCAACCTATTGTCATGTCAAACCTGCTAACTGTGATGGAGATTAGCATGATAGATGATAATGACAGACATCTCCTGGAATAGGGAGTCATTTTCAAATTAACAGTACTGCAAATACTGTTTGAGGCTGGTACTAGAAACACTTTTGGATGGGTAGAGGATGCTAAAATGTCCTCAAGGACTTCAGAATGGCCCTGGAGTACATCTGGGAACACAGCATTCCTTCAGTCCTGGAGCTAAATGTACCTGTCCCCTCAAGTGAGAAATATCTAGTGGCTGCCTGCCTGGACCCACCTAGTGATTTCATGTGACTGTAGCCAAGAAGGTTAATGAATTAGAGCCATTGACTTCAAAGCCATATCTTACTTAACTATTGCTTTCTGAGACAGTGCTTTGGCAACCCTTTGTCTTTCACTGGTAGAATCCTTCCACTCTTCTCTGCTCCCCTATGGGAATGTGAAAAGGAGCATTTTCACATTATATATTTTGCAAACTACAATTGATTTTTTTAAACTATGATTCATAACTAGATAAGCCATAAAACAGCAGGGTGGGGGGTTATGCCAAAGGTGTCCAGCTTCTTTGGATTCTTTGCTTTTGGTGTCCTTTAGGCTGATCAGCCTTTTCCTGTAGGAGGGCATACCATTTTTCAAAAGTCTTCTCTGGGACTTGAAGCCATTTTGTTTGGCAAATAAGGCCTATAACAGGTTCCACAAAGTACTCATTTATTCACAGAACAATTTCTGTCATTACCAAAGAGTTCAGCATGTCAAATAATTTGGAACATTTTCTTGGATTCAAGTTGTTCCAGCATCCAATATATCTAAAATTCTCAATAACAGCTCCTAGAATACCTAAAAGGTACCGGTGGTTGGTGTCTGAGCTACCATGATCACTTTACAGGAGACGAAGCTAGAAGAACAGAAGAGAATTTCTTGCACTTATTCCATTATTTTAGATTGCAGTATTTCCGGTTCAGGGGAGGGTGCCATGTGTGCTGATGCTGGAGGTGACTGGAATCTCTTCTTGGTACAGACAGGTAAAGGAGGTAACACTTCATTACACTATGACCAAGATAGCACATTTTATGGATTCTGGTCCAACTGTGAATGGCCCTGTCACTGCCAGTCTTAACTGCACAAATCCCGGAATACCTGCTAAAGTGGCTATTCTGGTCAGTCTGAAGACAACTCTTTGCTGGAATTGGGTGAGATAGAGTGGCCCAAAGAAGTGCGTACGCCCAGAAAAGAGTGTACTATTTGTGTGGTTCTTGTAATAGCAGCACCAGTGTTTGGAGGAAATGTGAAGAGAGGTTCTCAAAGGCAAACTTCAGCACCAGTGTTCAGTCTGTGCTGAGGCAAGTTCCAGGCTTGCTCTTGGCATTAACATCGACAACAATACCATGAACGCCTTGACTTTCTTAGCCACTAGCATCTTGTTAAGCTTTACTGCAGATCAACTGCTCTGTGATGACTACCCTACAGCACTTTTCCTACAGCAGTTTAAAGGCTAAATTGTCTTAGTTTAGGTCTCTTGCACCAATGCCTACCCTACAGGAAAGTAAGAAACAGCAGCTCAATTTCAATAGCTAATATCACATAGGTTTTTTCCACAGTCAAAATACAGTCACAATCAAATAACTGAATGTCATACATCCTCAGGCCACCGATAAGCACACTGATGATTCTCCTGCACTCTTTTCAGTTCATTGAAGGCTATGCTTTCATGTACTGTAATGTGAAAGCATGCACATCAGCAGTTACTGCAGAGCAGCTGTTACTTGCTTTCTTTTACCCTGTAGTAAACTAGTTCATTGGTATATTCCCTTTGACTCCTCTCTTCAGTATAGACATAATATATGCTTAAAGCTACACTGTGTAACCAGGTTCTGCAACCAAGGTTGGTGCCAACAGTTCAGTAGTAAAGATCCTGACTGAGCTGGAAACTGAAGTGCTGTGTCAGCTTAGCCA